AACTATTCCAAACTAAATACCAGCAGCCTCATTGGGATTAGTGTGATGATCTGATAGAATGATAAATAGAGCCAGAGGCTGTAAATAAAGAGAAGAAGTTGCTGCTCTTTAGCGTGAGAGCAACACCTGGTTTGAGGTTTTGGTTTTTTTTCTTATGATTAGGAGTCACAGGAAAGAATATTTTAGTGAAGAAGCATTCCAAAACCTGAGATTTCTTATCTTGCGTGAGTAAAAATGTGCAACGTGCTGCACAAAACTGGCCAAGTCACGATGTGAAATAACCCGAGGGCTACAGCGGCGTACAGGTGTGCCAGGCAATTTACATGCAGTGGACTCACATTTCATTATTCTGTTCATTTTAAGCCTGATGCTTGGGTCAAATATCTCCTGGCATGCAGGATAATAAATGGTTGAGTTTGCTGTCTGATTGAAGAGCATCTGAACTTTATGCTTTCACTGCATTCAAGCGGCTGCATCAGCAGACCTATTCTACATAGAATCAAAGCTGTTGCAGGAGTGTTATCAGTGTCTTAGTAGGTGGTCCGTTTTACAGCCCAAGCTTCCTGGCAAGTTCATGTCCAGCACAGACGAGACCCTTTTACATGCAGAGATTCTTTTCCACATTCCCCGGATGACTCGGCACACTGTGAAACTGAAGCTGGAGCAGCAACAAACACAGAAACTACACATGAGCAAGAGCAAAGGCAGCTATTATGGACTATTAAGGACACGGCTACCCAAAAGGGCAGGAAAGTGACTAAGTCTTTTTAAAGCAACAGTGACACTCGAGTTTAAATGGCAGGCTGCTTGAACCACATGATGCCTCATGATTTTGGTCTATTTAAGTGATAGCTCAGATATTTTGTGTGTTCTACAAAGTTAGCAACCACCATTTTACCTGCTGTAGGTAGCTGGCTCTAGCCACTAGCAAGGCTTCTGTCTGCATAAATAATACATCTGGGGTGTCCATGTTTTTCAAGACACAGACCACATTTGCTAAATTGAGGATACTCACAGGCCACAATACATTTTCTCCATAAAAGAAAACACAACAAAGAAACCACGTTTGATTTTAGTTTGAATCTTTTAGACATTTTAGACTAAATGAAAGGAGTCACGCTTGTTTGCCCTCGCAAAGAAAATCATTAGTCAGATGTTAACTAAGGCTTAGGGGAAAAAAGTGAAAAGGTTGTGTCTGTGATGTTGCATGCATCCTTTTTACTCTAATTAGCACAGTTTTATGCTTGCTCACAAATCTGCTTTACAGCTAAAGTCATTGGGGGCTTTTGGTTCAATTTACTATGAAATCAAATTAAAAGCAGGAAATGTGGTTAATCATTTATATATATATATATATATATATATATATATATATATATATTGCTCTATGCTAATAAAATTTAATAACATTTTTTATATTGCGTAAGTATATACCAAGATAAAATCAGTAAAGAAATAAAATGGTCCCTTCCCACTTGTAGATCATCCACCACAGGGCAGCAGACAAGTAAAAACTGGATATTGAAGGTTTTTGATGAAGGTACTAATCCTGATGCTCCTTTGAGATGAAGGGGTTCAATGTATATGCAGTAAAAGGGCTACATTGCTACTTTTCACTGTACTTAATATTTTGTTTGGCCTCACATTTTGTCATGTTTTGAAGATGGTAGGAAAGCAGGCAATAGTAACTTTATTCATAAGGAACTTCATTATAAGAACAATCCATCCATCTTGGATTTCTCACTCTGCACTCTCATCGTGCTAGTAGGGTCTACACTGCCCCTAGTGTCCAACATCCATCCATTTTTGTAACCCGCTTTTCCATGTAGGGTCGCGGGGCTGGTGCCTATCTCCAGCTGCCATTGGGCAAGCAGGCGGGGTACACCCTGGACAGATTTCCAGTCCATCGCAGAGCAACACAAAGACACACAGGACAAACAACCATGCGCACACACATAATTGAGAGAGACCAAACAACATGGCAGTCATATTTTTGAACTGTGGGAGGAAGCCGGAGTATCCAGACAGAACCCACACATGCACAGGGAGAACATGCAAACTCCTTACAGAGAGACCCCAGGTCAGGATGCTATGGTGCAGTATGGGGGCCAAAATTAAGACTACTGCCCAGCAGCAGGAGGCTATATAAATTCTGAAGCAAACTACCGACCTGATTAATGATAAGCTGGCGCCAGTAACTGAGAGGCTGGTGCTGCTTACTGAGAAATAACACTTTTACCGGCGTGCCTAGACTGGCCACTAGCTGACTAGTGACTCTCCGACATGCTAATGGCTAGCCTCTCCTATGCTAATGCCAGACTATCCATGCTTAAGGTCCATCAAGGGCGTAGGAAATCCAGCTAGTGGCATGCCTAGGCACGCTAATGACTAGCCTCTCCGACGCTAACGCCAGCCTATCCATGCTAATGGTCCATCGAGGAGGTAGGAAATCCATCTTGTGGCCAGCCTAGGCACGCTAATGGCAAGCCTCTCCAATGCTAACACCAGCCCGTCCAGGCTAACGCTAGCCTATCCATGCTAATAGACAGCAGAGGGAGTGTGTGAACCAGTCAATGACCAGCCGAGGGCTGCTAGTCCCTAGCGTATCTATTAGTAACGCCGGTAAAGGTGCTATTTCTCAGTAAGCAGCGCCAGCCTCTCAGTTACCGGCACCAGCTTATCATTAATCAGATCAGTAGTTTGCTTCGGAATTTATATAGCCTCCTGCTGCTGGGCAGTAGTCTTAATTTTGGCCCCCATACCGCGCTAAAGGATGCAAGCCCAGGACCTCCTAGTTGCAAGGCAACAGCGTTAACCACTGCGCCACTGCGCAGCCCTAGTGTCCAACACATTAATAAAAATCTCTTTTAAATTTTGAATTTTGAAATCATCTACCTTCATCAATAGCCTGTGCTAGTGTGACTAAATCCTACCATGCTCAGCAACACAGTTTGGACACGTCTGGTCCAGCCCTTGTGCTGTGATTGTAAAAATCCTAGTAACTAAATTGGAATTACTTCTGTCTGGTTTTATGCTACAGAGTTTGGGATGTATGGTTCATGATCATAAATCTCTTAAAATCAGCTTTATTTATCAAATTATCAATGACTTAAAAATGCACAGCATTTTTTACTGGTTTAATGATGAATGTGGCATTTTATTTTGAAATGTGATGCAATTTGTTATTTTAAGGAACAGTTATTATGGTGGTCCTACACAAAAATGGGATGACTAGCTGCAGCTGCTATTTGTGCTGCAGTAGAAACTAGCGTCCCATAAAATGAAACGCAAAAGATGCATATTGCAACTTCCTGCTTTCAAGTTTCTAAAGCACATTTGGAAAACATGCTAGCTTAAAACCTTTTTCCATGACTCTTAACAACGTTCAAACCTAGTTTAGCTATAAAAATATTGTGGAGATTAAAATATAAATTAACAAATGAATAAAGTGGTTCTCTCACATTAATCCTCTGCCAATAACACGGCTTGGAACAAAAGCAGCTTTTGAACCATCCGGTTGTTAATCTCGCCGAACCGCTGCACTTCCCTGGGTCCTCCACATATTACGTTTCTGTCCACTATTCATAGTTTAACTCGCAGCGGTTCAGGACAGGAAATCAATTGTTCAGAAACGGCTTCAAAACATCTGAGCTAAAAAAAAAAGGCCCCCCTGATCAGGTAAGCTGACAAAAATATGTGTATGTGTAAATCAAGCTAATAACTAGCGTCTCACACACACACACACATACACACACATGCTCAGATAGAGGCTGTCTGAGTGGCAGGTGATAGGGCAGGTGCTCTTCAGACTTTTTTTGGGAGGGGGGGGGGGGCAATCATAGTTTGAGTTAGAGTGTAATGTGAGCAGGCATGCAGAATGAAATCAAACCTACAGAAGTGGCTCAAAGGCTCGAAATTTAATCACAGCTCAACAAGGCTGGTCGACCTAAATCTCTCAGACACCCCCCGACCTTCTGATTCTTGAAGAAAAGTTTAGCAGAAGTTTGCAATCGTGCAAGGACTCTCCTTCCTGGAGTAAATGGTAGTTAAAGGGTCCAAGGTCCAGATTTATTCCATGTGCTGCTACACATTTATGGTGCATTCAAGTCAGACATTGTGAGGTAAATCTGATTATGTAGACGCCCGCAGTCCTTTTATTGTGCTCCAGCTAAAATAGTTACCACCAGAGTATCTATGCAGGCAGACGATACACTTAGTCATCAGGGTGGCAGACAGGAACGCAGCCCTCACCTCAGCTCACCTTCTTTCTGATACGAGCTGAACAATGGTGAGAATACATCGTACGGTAAGAAAATTTTATTTAACTAGAGCATGACTTTTAAAGGTCCCCTACTGAGGCACATAATCTGCCTGGTGCTGCAGGTGGAGAAGAGTATCAGGCTAAAATCTTCCACAGAGTGGATTATTCGAGCCACGGCGCCAAGTTTCAGCCTTGAACAGTTCTTAACAACCCCTCATCTAACATATTCCAGACATGCACTTACCTGCCTTGCTCTGCAGCAGCTCATAGCTGCACTGTAACCATCACATTTACGGCTCACTGCCGGGAACTGCTGGAAACATCACTGATGCAAGAATCGACATCTTCAAAGGGAATAAATTAATAAAGAAGCTACTAATCCCACGGCTAGGCATCAGGATAAATGGGCATCTGCGGGCATTGTCAAGGATAAAACTATCAAACTGAACAATGTTCTATTAATCTGCATCTTATCGACCTTTTTCCACCTAATTTATTAACAAAAAAAACACACCGTTCTTTGTGCCTTGTGCTTTTTTAAGCATTTGTGTTGTAAGATTAAATCAGTGCACCTGACAAGCTGCACAGATCTTTTTTGTTTTGTTTTATCAAACTGCATATTTCAGATTTCACTCCTCACCACAAATGCTGCAGTGACATGCGTTTGGAAGATGAGGGAATGTAGCTCCAGTCTCTTAATTTGTCATTTGAGAGTGAAGGCAGCTGTTTGGTACAGTACCTCACTGGCGATCTCAGCCTGGAGTGTGTGCTGGATGGTGGCCAGCAGCAGTGAGTGAATTCAGGCCATCCCAGGGTCAGGCTGAACCACTCTGCGATCCATTGCTGCCTTGTGTTCCTCCCGGCTTCTCTCCTCCCCTCTCCTTACTTTGCCTTTGTTTTTGTTTTTAAATCACAGCACCAACTTTTCAAGACCGTTTTCCTCTGCTTGGTTTCTCTCCTCTTGGCTCTCCTGAGTCTTTTCTTCTTGGAAAATGACGAAAACGAGTTCAAAACAAGCTCCAGCACTGTTGTTCCTCTTGTCACTTACAATGCTGATCGTCTCTCTGAAGGTTCTCTCTCTGCCCTCTCGCTTCTTTTCCCTCCCACCCTCGCCCCCTCTCTCTGCTACTGTTGAGGAAGTGCTCTCTTGTTTTCTCTTACTCTCCTCCCTTTCTCTTGCCCGTCCTCTAATAGTTATTTAGTGTCTCATTACAGCACCTGCCTTCACACAGAAAGGCACCGAAAGAGGGGAAAAAAAAGCAATGATTTTTGGTCTGATGCAGCAAGTCTGTGTTGAACTTGAAAACAAGCTGAATTCCTTGCATGTAGAAGTGTGTATTTGCATGCAGCATTGGTGCACAAGTGCAACACTGGTGCGAGGAGAGCCCAGCTGCATGTGTGGGAACCTGAAAACAGCTTTCACACTGTGAGGAGATGACAGAAGAAAAGTCCAGCTTCCTTTCAAGGCAGAGGTTTAACCTCATTTTATCTTGAGACCTGATGAAGTTGTAGCCATTTTGGTAAAATTTTGTAAATATTTTGTGAAAACCTCATAAAAAGAGGAACTCCTAGTTATCACCATGTGAAATTTCAGCTCAAGATCTATGAAACTAACTTAATTATTAGTTTGGCCTGCCAGACTCGCCCTCTGTCTACTCTACACGGAGGAAGAGTCTGGATAATCAGAGGTAGAGCACCATGAGGGGGCGGGACTAGCCAGATCAGAAAAAAGGTGAAAATGACAGCTGTGTCGCTGTAGCTTTTTAGCTGTAATCAGAGATGACGTCTGGCGTCGACACCAACATCATTCGCTTTTAGCGCTTCTTCTTCTTGAGGAAAGAGCCGCAGCAAACTCCGCTTCAGGACCTGCCCACACGTAGCCGGGGATCTGCCAAAACGTAGATATTTTTCTACGTTCTGGCCTGTCATCCACATGACAACTGAGTTTTTTCACACGAAAACGTATCTTTTTAAAAACTCCGGCCAAAGTGAAGATCTGCGTTTTCTCCGTTTTGGGTGTCTGCGTGTGGACAGACAAAACCGGAGTTTTAAGGTCTGCAACGTCACTTTCCGCGACAAAAAAATGCTGACATCACATGTGCGACCTGTGTTTACACTAGCCGACAGCATGGATGCCCTCAGAGCTGCGCTCGCTTTATCAGTTGTCCAAGCGCTTTTTGCTTGTTTGTTTTTGCAAGCGGAATTACTGCTCCTTGTGGAAGACCACAGACGAAGGACGAGGTTAAGAACGGGGGAAGTGCTGCCGCCTACAGGTCTGGCATGTCCTTAACAACGTATTTATCCGGGTACGTGTGGACAGAGTTTTTTTATAAAACGAGGTGGTGTGGATGCAAGTTTTTGGAGGGGCGGATATTCGTTAAAAAAAAAAACCCGGCTACGTGTGGACTAGGCTTCAGACGCCATCTTCACTGTTTATGAAAACCTGAGCGTCGCGGTGTGGGACCTACGCTGCTCAGCGCTGATTGGCTTGGTTAGAATTTTCAGGGGGTGGGGTTATTTGAATGTAAGCATTACCAGCATGGTATACATCTCTATGGTTACCAGGCCCTTTGCTTCTCATAGGGAAGCATTGGCATGGCTGGCAAGACTACCTAATTGTAGCCAACTGTGTTTGGCTGTGGCAGCCATTTCGAATCGGATTGACTCCAAAAGTCAATTAGTTGTAAATTTTCATCTAATGATCATTTTCAGTGAGTTTAATGAAAATCCTTCCAGTGATTTAGGTGTTACACTGCAAAAAACGATTTTCAAGGAAGTTAAAAAAGGTTGTTTTTTTCTAAAAAGAAAAAAATCTCATTTGCAAAACCAGCACTACTTGAAATGAGGAAAATGTTGTTAAACATGATCCACTGATTTTGTTTTGAGTAAAAAAAGTATTGCCAACAGGAAAAGCAAAAAGTGCTTGGCGAGAATTAGTCAAATAATTTAAAGTTGGATTTATTTGTTAGTTTTAAGAATTCTAGCCAGCAGCTTCTGTTTTTAAAATATAATATTATTGTAAGTACTTGTCATGTTCTGTGTCCCTCTGTCCCCAGCCTCCTCCAGGTTGTCCTCTTATGTCCCATGATTATTCCCTCCTGCTTTGTTCTTTCCCCATTTAGTTTACTGAATGCACCTGCCTTCCCTCCAGATCTCACTCACACCTGTCACCTGTTCACCTGATCACCTCCCTCTGTGTTTAACAACCCTGTCTTGTCCTTCAGTGTTCGTCGGTCCATCGTTGTGTCTACGTTGTTCTGTTCCCTCCCGAGTTTTACCCGAGTCAGTGCTCAGTTGTGAGCTTCTGTTTTTGTTTTTGGATCGCTTCCAATCCAATCCAATTTTATTTATAAAGTGCATTCACATGGCATTACAACCAAACAAGGCACTGTACACTAAAAATGTTAGTTAATTAAACCGGCGTTATACAAACATGTCGAACACAGATAAAAGATAAAAAGGAAATACAACAAAATTCCCAAAAATAACAGCTAAAAATCAACAAGACACAGGGTGAATAAAAATTAGAAAAACATTTTAAAAAAGAACCTCAATAGTACGGAAGTCGATAATTGTGGAGTCCATTTTTAAACAGTGCAGATGTAAGTCTTGATCAAGTCTCCTCCTTTAAATAAAGGATTTACTTATTTACATCTGCTCCTGTCTAGTGTGTTCTGCATTTTTGGGTCCTAACCTCCTTCTCAGCTGTTTTTGTAGATGAGAACATTTTTTTTGTCTTTTTAGACTAAAAATGAGATAAAACCTTTTTACTTCCATTAAAAGAAGGTTTTCAGTGAGTCATTGCAAAGCAAAAGCACACAGAAATACACGTGCAAAAAAAACCATCAGCCACCTTTTTGCTCAGTTTCGTTGCAGTAAAGAAGATCATTGAAAGCTCCTATTTGTTTGAGATTTAACTTTGAGTCACAGCAAATTTTTTAAATCCATTAACAACCTGAAAAACTTCAGATTAAAGTCATGATGCAAAATAACATTATCATTTTATTATAACTTTTAAAAACGTTTTTCATTTATAAAGTGTTGGGATGAGTCTGTGTATGGTGGTGACGACTCCACAGAAATGTATTAGAAAAACAGGTTGGAGTAGATTTTGCTTTGCTCCGGCCTGTTTTTGAGCTTCTTACAGCAGTTAGTGCACATCTCCCTCCTCGCTCCAGTAGTCTGCAAACGATGCAGCTAATGTCCACGGCGCATACCTGTGCTTGCTGACATGTACTAACTCACTCTTCCCGCAGGCCATGACAGAGGAACGCTCAGCAGTCATAACACTTCAGCGATGAACGTGGCAAAGAGGGAGGAAAGCAGAGGAGGAAAAGGAGGAGGAAGCATTAAAAAAGGAGGGCTGAGTTCATTAAAAGAGAGAGGCAGAGGGATTGAGGAGGTTTCATGAAAAAGAGGGTGAAGAAAGGGTGAGGTGACAGACGGGAGTGGGAGGGGAGATGAAATAAAAGTCAGAATTTGCCCCAAGGTTACAGCCATTGGTGGGTAATGTGGGAGAGAAACCATTTACGAACGCGCGTCTGCTTGTGACTCGTAATAAGTTTGGATCTTACTCATACGTGTCTGCTGCTGGGAGGAAGACGAGCGATGAACAAAAAGCCTAGATGGCTGACAGATGGGAATGATTCATGTTAACGTTCATCCCTGCAGCACGATATCGCTCAGCTGAGACGTAATTATTTCAAAACTCCACACAGAGGAACATGTTGCATTCATCAAGCTAGATTTATTTTGGTCTGAAATGTCTACAAAGCAAAACGTACACCAAACAATCTTCAATCGTTTTTGTTTTGTGCAATAATACTTAAAAATACTTTATATAAATACCGTGCAAGGCATACAAGCAGAAAAGCTCCCAACATGCTTATTACACACGCGCGAAAACATTATGCTAGCCTTTAAATTTTAACAAGAAAAACAACGAAACAGTCACGTTCCTGCAATCCTACAGCATTCATTCATTAATAACACTGACTTTAAGGCTGTGGTCACTAAAGAAAATACTGTGAAGTTTTCATTAGATTTCTAGCCCAGTTCAGCGTGTGAAAGCAGTTGTTTATCATCTTCTATGTCTTTGAAAGAGTTTTTTCAAGTGTGAGAAAATTGGGGTTATCTCTAGTCGAGGTTAAAGACTACAAATGATTGACAGAATGTCGGTGCTACAAACTAAAGTGGAATCAGAGTTTCACCTCAGGGACTCTTAGCACTTCGAAGCGCCTCAAAGGAAAACATTGCACAACGGCAAAACGGTGTTGGTTATGCCAAAACTGTAGCTTGTGATAAATGTTAACAAACACAAAAACAGTCGGCTGGCACTAGTGACACGGTACAGCTTCAAGTAACTGAGGTGTGAGCTAGTTAAACTTAGATTTATGCAAAAATTATTACATATTCTTGTGCAAAAATCACCTTAAAAACAACAAGTTACGATCTGCATGTGCAGACAATGTAAGAGGTGAGATTAACTTCCAGTACACAAGTGTTATTTAAAATATTTGTGCTGCACTTGCATTAGCAAAATTAAAATATCTTTAGTTTCACATGGTGAATATTTAGTCATCCCAAATGCAATGGAGCATCTTCCTCCTGTCATTCCTTTTCTGTGCAGGAATCTTAATTCATGATTCGGCAGGATGCGTCGCTTGCTGCAAGAGAAGCAGTGCAATTTGGTTTACACAAAGGAAAAAGAGAAGAGAGAATTAGTCGTGTCAGACTGGCTCCTGGATGGATTATTTCTAAAGACAAAGTTTTTGTATTCATTTGCCGGAAAAACAAGGCAGACTTGATGCAGCATTTGTACACCAAATAAAATAAAAGCCTTAAGTTTTAAACTTTCAAAAATGTACTTTGTGGGACTGATATAAGTATGAATTTTTAAACTGGTGCATGTTATAACTACAAAGTTACAGTTATCATTAACAACCTGGGATGCCATGAAGCCTAGAAACAGGGCTAACTTAACTTCAGTCAATATAAGCTTATAGAGCTCCGGGAGTTGACGTCGCTTCTCCCTGCATGCAACAGTTCAAATCGAAACGGCGCCATATTGGCAGGCAGAAGCCGGCAGCTGGACTATTTGTTATTGTCAGAAAACTCAATCAAACGGGAAATATGGTAGATTCCTGTTGTGCCCCAGGATGCAGAACAGACGCGGACGACATAAGGAATGAGCCATCTACAGGATTCCCCAAGATCCGGAGCGCCGCAAACATTGGATCATTATAATAAAATGCACTAGTGACCGGGCTAAAATGAAGCTGTGGGATCCCGAGAGTAAAGGATTTCGCTTATGCAGCGACCGCTTCATATCAGGTACTTAAACCAATGTTTCCTCAACTGTGTGTGGTATTTATTTTAAATGCTTTCATTACGATTCTTAGTGGGCTTCCTAAACTTATTGTGGCGTGGCTTTTTCTGTCTTATTACTCATAGCAACAAGTAAACATCACGTACAACGTTGCCTCGTGAGTTCTGCGTGCTGCCGTTTACGTGTTTTATGATCACAGCAATGAACCGGCTAAGCTGTATTTAATTTTTAAGCAATGGTTGATCAGTTGTCAGATCACACATAAAAAGCACTTTGGATTGCTATTATCTGTCTCACAGAGACAGATCTCAGACAGATCCTGAGACGCTCCTGCCTGACATTTTTAATTTATTCACGGAAAAAAATCAGACTAGTGATTTCTCTTGGCGTTCAGTTTATACATTCAAACAGCACAGCACTCGATTTAAACTACTTACGTGTAAATGTGTTATTTGTCCATCCATCCATTTTCATCCGCTTATCCGGAGTCGGGTTGCGGGGGCAGTAGCGTCGGGAGGGCCAGACTTCCCTCTCCCCAGCCACTTGGGCCAGCTCCTCCGGGGGAATCCCAAGGGGTTCCCCGGCCAGGTCCAGTAAGAAGTCCGCTCCGACAGCTTCTGGCGTTTTTAAAAAGTATCCCAGGGGCACGGTAAGGGTCGGAGATGTTTAGTCTATTTAATTTCTGACTATATAAAACGATTTCTTCGGTTTTAAAGCGTGAAGTAAACTCCGACGAAGTAAAATCCAAGCCGATCCCGTTCACGTTCATGTTTACGATCCGTGTTTGTTTACCTTTTTTTCCTGCCATTATGGCGTCTACTAACTGAGAGTCACGTGGGGTCCGGAGCTCTATACGCTCATTAGGACTTAATTGCGCCCATTGTGGACAACACATCTTAAAGAACAAGTCTTCTTGTTTTTTCAACATATTTTCAGTGGTCTCTAATATAATTAAATGTGAGTCAATCTCTGTGGAGAAAAAAAGCTCTGGCACTTCTGTTTCAGGAACTAGAAGTGAGTTGGTTTAGAGTTAAGCAGAAGATGGCTGGAATTTGAGTTTAATTTCCTGATATTTGGACCTCTCGCCTCTGACTGGCTAATAGCAACAACTCTACCACTGACTCAGTTGATGTTTTATCTGCACAAATAACACGAGCCTGAAGGAGTTCCGCCATGTTGTGGTGTTGCTAATGCTAATGCTTAGCCATGTGCTCTGCTTTCTCCTGGATGATAAATCAACAACGGGTAGAAGGCTATTTTCCAGGCTTCTGCTATTTGTGGTGATAAAACAGAGCCGTGTTGATGTTATCCAAATCTGGGTACAGTTTGCGAGGCATCTATTCCTACTAGAGACCACTGCAAATGTATTGATTGAAACATTTTCCCACATCTTTAAGCATGGCTTCTCTCAGCTTCTTCAAACAAAATCATATGTTTTTGCATTTAATTAAAACCTCAACTATTTTTTGTGATTTTTAGGAGAAACATACAAGACGATGTTGATATTTAAAATGAGCCAGGAAGGAGAATCACACAGTAAATACAGACATCTCGTCTAACTTCTTCCAGTCTAAATGATGAGTCATCATCAGGTTAGCTGCTCGTACTTTACGTTTAGATTTTTTAGACAACAGTTTTGTCATTCTCAAAACTTTATTCAATGACTGGAAGCTGCTGACTAATGCACTAATACTTCACAAATTCACTCCTAGCTCTCATTCTTAATTAGTAGATTACCAACACTTTTGAATTGGAGCTACAATCATACCTCTTGTAGACGTGTATGTAAATGGAGTTTTTAATTAAAAAAATTTTGCCAAAATGAAACCATCCTTTTTGAAAAGCTGCCTACTTACTTGTGCCGTTCTCACCTGGTCCCAACACATAACAAGACTGAAAGACAAGTGACTAAGGCCCTGTCCACACGTAGCCGGGGATCTGCCAAAACGTAGATATTTTTCTACGTTTTGGCCTGTCATCCACACGAAAACGGAGTTTTTTCACACGAAAACAAATCTTTTTAAAAACTCCGGCCAAAGTGAAGATCTGCGTTTTCTCCGTTTTGGGTGTCTGCGTGTGGACAGACAAAACCGGAGTTTTAAGGTCCGCAACGTCACTTTCCGCAACAAAAAAATGCTGACATCACGTGTGCGACCTGTGTTTACACTAGCCGGCATCATGGAAGCCCTCAGAGCTGCGCTCTGTCACTACCCGATCCATCAATTGTCCAAGCACTTTCTGCTTGTTTGTTTTTGCAAGCGGAATTACTTCTCCTTGCGGAAGACCACAGACGAAGGACGAGGTTAAGAACGGGGGAAGTACTGCCGCCTACAGGTCTGGCATGTCCTTAACAACGTATTTATCCGGGTACGTGTGGACAGAGTTTGTTTTTATAACGCGGTGGTGTGGATGCAAGTTTTTGGAGGGGCGGATATTCGTTTTTAAAAAACCCCGGCTACGTGTGGACTAGGCCTTAATCAAAACATCACAGCCAGAGGTTAGACGACAGGGACACACACACACGCATAGGTGAGGATGAAAACACACACACTCTAGTCTGATTTGTGATCCTAGTGAGAACAAAAGGTTGTATGTGAACTGTTCTGCTGTCTAATGATTATTTCTAAGCTGGACATCATGGGATGAGTCAACAGAGGCAATATTAAAACTTTGTTACCTGTTATAAACTCAATTGTACATCAGCATATTTGGCAGCAGGCCCATGAATTGCTGACAGCTGTTCAAGCTGCTTTCTAAATCATCTCTGGAGAAAAATGGCTGAACTTTTAAATGCGTTCAAACTTATCAGTTTGTATACGAGAATACATTTTTAATAATCTGAACAAATTCTTAGAAATTAGTCTCTCCTTGTAAGTACAACCACATTTTTATTAATCTCTGCGATCCAAAGGAGCTTTTTCCTTCAAGATTAACCTCTGTATAATATGTGAATGTGTGTGTGTGTGTGTGTGTCCCATATTCTACTGACCTGGGCTGGAGGTTTCAGGGGAACCAGGTGTGGGCCTTTGGCCTCGACTCACCAACAGGGCCTCCTGGTTTTCAGCCAGTGCCTGCTTTGCCAGGTAGTGCTCCCTCTTCATCTTCAGCTCCAGGGACTCAGGAACATCAGGCACGATCCAGTCAATGGCTCGCAGTACAAAGAAAACAACATGCTGAACAGAGGGAAACAAAGCATTAAGCAGAAGAAGAAACATGAAAGATCACATATTTAAAAGTTTGGACACCGTCAACTGACAAAAAACAAAAATGCATGGGAGTGAAACAACATTTTTACACCAAGTTGGAATTGGTCATAAAGTAATGTTAAACAGAGGCAAATCTAAAAGTTTGTGAAATAAACTGAGCTCTCTCCTTTTATACCTCAAATGCTATGATAAACCCGAGTCGGACAGCAAGAAGTTCCCAGTAAAACAGTGTGTAGTTTCCATTGTTGTCTCTGAATGCTTTGTACCTGAAAAAGAATAAAACAGTGTTTAACTACAGAAACACTGCCCTCTGTTGGTCAAGTTTAATAAAATCCTTTTGTCTTTAAGGGTTTTAGTATGTTAATGTATTTAAAGTCACTAATAGGATAAAAAAGAGATGAAACCATTCCCAGCACTGGCAGCACAGATTCAGCATACCTGCACATGGGGTAATCTGTATAATTTAGTGGGGCATAAGCCAAGGTGTAGTTGACATATCCATGGAGGTCGTTATGAAACTTGTACTGGTAGAGTAAGCGAGGCAAGAAATCTGAGGTGAAGGCTATGAGGAAAGCCTGAGGAAAAACCAAAACATGGTGTGAAGATACAATCTTTGTAGTTGAGCATGTTTTAAATAAAATTAGGGATTTACTGACATTGGCGATGACAGACAGGTGCGACAAGGCTTCCAGTATATTGAACCAGACTCCGATGTTTTGTGCGCGCTCAGCCACGGGTCGACGGTACTCACACACAAACTTGTGTGCATCCAGGCGGATTTCTACCCAGTTATTCAGCAAAGCAAAGAGGGGTGCGAGGGGAAAGGCCGCCACAAATATTGTAATGAACCCAAATTGGAGCACTGCAATGCAAGCAGCAAGTTTACATTGGTACAACAAAACCTACGAGATGTGTCACCAACATCTCAGCATATTTTTGAATTTATGAGTTTATTCACAGCAGATACATTTGTGGCGAATTACCCATTTCCAGATATTCTTCAAACAGCCCCTCACATTGTACCAATTTATAGTCTTCCTCCCAGAGCCGGGGCTCTTGGGATACTTTGCCTCCCAGCACACTGGAGAAAGCTCTCTTCTGGTGCCAGGCCTTTACTTTACTGCAGAGGGACAATAACGGACATCTACAGCGTTAGGCAAGGACAGAAAGTGGATGGATGGATGGATGGATGGATGGATGGATGGATAAAGCGATGGGTGGTTGGATGAATGGATGAAATGATGGATGGAGTGATGGATGGTTGGATGGAAGGTTGAAATGATGGATGGAGCAATGGGTGATTGGATGGATGGATAGATGAATGAATGGCTGGATGGATGGATGGAACGATTGATGGAATAATGGATGGATGGATGAAACGATTGATGGAATAATGTATGTATGGATGGATGGATAGATGGATGAAATGATGGATGGATGAAACGATGGATGGAGCAATGGATGGATGGATGGATGGATGAAACGATTGATGGAATAATGTATGTATGGAAGGATGGATAGATGGATGAAATGATGGATGGATGAAACGATTGATGGAATAATGATGGATGGATGGATGGATGGATGGATGGATGGATGGATGGAACGACTGATGGAATAATGGATGGATGGATGGATGAAACGATTGATGGAATAATGTATGTATGGATGGATGGATAGATGGATGAAATGATGGATGGATGAAACGATGGATGGAGCAATGGGTGGTTGGATGGATGGATGTGTAATGTCCAGAAATGGTCAGTTTTCACCTACAGATTGACCTTCATGCCCCTGGTCATCTGCAGACCTAATTCCATCCTCCAAGGTGGATTTTACACTCTATCTTCCTGCAAGCCCAGAAGGATACTGCAACCTTGTTGACATTTCAGGAGGAACACGATGTCTGCCTGTGTTCCCAAACAAAGCCTTCTTTGATAACACTGCAGTAGTGCCCACTCTCTCAATAAAGTGAACGTTTTCAACTCATATGAGTCAATTAATCATGAAATGAAATTAACAAATGTTATATGGATAACAACAAGGTTTTGGTTAATCTGTGCTTGAACTACTGAAAGTTTGAAATGAAATGATTTATTACATTAAATGATTTATATATATGGTAATCAGTAATGTTTGAAATGAACAGGGAATCATCAGCTACACTCAGACACAAGGTCCATTAAAGTTAAGTTGAACTCATGACACATAGATATTTCTTTACCCCAATCAGGGCATCCGGTATTTGAAGGAAGGCGTGATGTTCTGAAGTTTTTGGTAATATCCCTTAACATGGCACGTTCCAATTGGCCAAGTAAATCATAATATGAGAATATTAAAACAGAATCACTTACAGTTATTAAGCACTTCAACTTCAACTTCCAGCTTCCAGGTCATGAGGTCATCTACACAGCTTCCAACATCCTGTGAGATTCAGCATTCAGTTCTAGAGAAAGCTACGGAACGGCCATCCAGAGCGAAACCTCTTTAACCCAGAGCATTTCTGACAAGCTGTCAAAACCCTGCTAAAAATCTGCCAACCGCTGACACAGCAAACAGTTCCTGCAGAACAAAGCTGATACTGTTCCGACTCCCTAAGAGTCCTAGATGCAAACAGTTTCATCCATCTGTTGTGACCCGGAAACATCTCTGGACTGGACAGTCGGTGCTGCGGTTATTCTACAAATCTCGGTGCCCCGAGGTCATCCGACCTTCCTGGCCTCTGGAAGGTCTTCAAGAGGGTCTTCCAAAGGGTGAGGTAGACACAGCATGATCACGTCTGATGTGGTATTGATACGAATCAACTTCCTAGTTAATGCAAACCAAATTCTTTCCATTTTACACCCAGAATGCAGTTCTTCTAGATATGAAAGTTCTGATAACCTCACATTAACATATAGTCACCATACATAACAGTCCATCCACCTAGATCTATCCATCACAGTAAATATTAGTTAACTTATCATATTTTTAATTGTTTGGAAAATAAATTCATACTTTTTATAAATCTGACTCTCCTCTTGAATCAACACGAAGTGTTCTACAATCCCTGAATAAACAAAGAATTCTAGAATCTTCTGGTTAAACATTAAAGACCAATCAGACTGGATTTCCATATTTATATGGAAATTCACATCACATTGGTCAAAGTGTAGAGTAGTATATTAGGCTTTAAAAGCACCCAAATATGTATACAATCCTCCTTTTACATATTGATGAAACAATGGATAAAGCAATGGGTGGTTGGACGGATGAAATGATGGATGGAGTGATGGATGGTTGGATGAATGGATGAAATGATGGATGGAGCAATGGGTGATTGGATGGATGGATATATGAATGGATGGATGGATGAAACGATTGATGGAATAATGGATGGATGGATAGAGTGGTGGATGATTGGATAGATGGATGGAGTGGTGGATGGATGGATGGATGGATGGATAGATGAAATGATGTATGAAACAATGGACAGAGCAATGGATGGTTGGATGGATGGATGGATGAAACAATGGACAGAGCAATGGATGGATGGAGTGGTGGCTGATTGGATGAATGGATGAAATGATGGATGGAGCAATGGGTGATTGGATGGATGGATGAAATGATGGATGGAATGATGGATGGTTGGATGAATGGATGAAATGATGGATGGAGCAATTGGTGATTGGATGGATGGATAGATGAATGGATGGATGGATGGATGGATGAAACGATTGATGGAATAATGATGGATGAATAGAGTGGTGGATGACTGGATAGATGGATGGAGTGGTGGATGGATGGATGGATGGATGGATGGATGAAATGATGGATGAAATGATGGATGAAACAATGGACAGAGCAATGGATGGTTGGATGGATGGATGAAACAATGGACAGAGCAATGGATGGATGGAGTGGTGGCTGATTGGATGGATGGATGGATGGATGGATGAAATGATGGATAGAGCAATGGGTGATTGGATGGATGGATGGATGGATGAAATGATGGATGGATGGATGGATGGATGAAATGATGGATAGAGCAATGGGTGATTGGATGGATGGATGGTTGGATGGGTGAAATGATGGATGAAATGATGGATAGAGCAATGGGTGATTGGATGGATGGATGGATGGATGGATGAAATGATGGATAGAGCAATGGGTGATTGGATGGATGGATGGTTGGATGGGCGGATGGATGGATGAAATGATGGATAGAGCAATGGGTGATTGGATGGATGGATGGTTGGATGGGCGGATGGATGGATGAAATGATGGATAGAGCAATGGGTGATTGGATGGATGGATGGTTGGATGGGCGGATGGGTGAAATGATGGATGAAATGATGGATAGAGCAATGGGTGATTGGATGGATGGATGAAATGATGGATAGAGCAATGGGTGATTGGATGGATGGATGGATGGATGGATGGATGGATGGATGGACAGATGAATGGATGGATGAAAAACACCAAAGTCCCATGTGACTTTGGAAACCGCCAGCACATATTCCCGTTTAATCCCAGCCACTGGCTCGTGCTGCTGTATGGGTACCATTTAGCGACCTACGGTAAAATGAATTCCTGGATGTTGTTGATGAGCTGCTTCCCAACCATTATGATGAACAGCTGTTCAGCCAATTCAATGAGGCACCCTCCAGGACCACACTGAAATATTAAAGCACACAAAGATGACTCAGCAGAGCCACATTTTACATCCTTAAATATGAAACTGTCAAATTTTGATTTTACAAAACCAAAAGTAAAAGACAGAATACAAATTGGACTCACATCTTCATTTCTCATCCCAAACAAGGTTCCATATTTTGAAGGGTAACCAACAAACCTATAAACACAGAAAAAAGGCTAAGTTTTGGTCATAAAGTGATGATTTGAAAACTTGCTTCTTGTGACAGTCTTCTCTCACCTTCCTTTAAAGAAAGCCACGTAAAACGGAGACGAGTAAAAGTTGACAAACTGGAAGATGAACACTTTGAAGGTGAAAGCATTGTCGTACTGGGTTTGTGTTCTGTGCATCTCTGAAAAGCAAATAAGAAAATCATATCTAGATTATTTCCTGATGTGTTATTGGGATATACTGATTAAAATGGTGGTTTTAAACGTTTTAAAATTACATTTGCTTTTTGAGAACTCTAAGCTTTGATTAATTGCAGATAAAATCAGTAGTCGACATGAATCCACACTCTGAAGTGTTCGAGTGCATCCTTGATTCATACCCCATTTAGTGAGCTGTTCTGCTAACGCAGTGTAGACCTGTCCCATCAACAGGATGAGGCCCAGATTTACAACACTGCTGGAGATGTTGGCTATGGTCCCTGCCTGGGAGGAAAGTTATGTCAAAGAAATCATTAATTGCAAATCTTAATGTCTTGTGCAGTCAGATTGTGCAGATGCTGATTTATGTACCTCTGTACGCAGCACTGGGCTCCCAGTGTGGTACATCATCACGCTGATGATGCCACGGCTCACGACCACAGTCACCAGGAAGATTATCACCACACACAGCTGGTTTGAAAATAAACATAAAATGTTTGGAAAAGAGAATCTGAGAAATTTCAGAAATTAGCCTAGTCTCAAATTTTTCAGATGGGGATTTTTAGAGGTTTAGGCCCTGTCCACACGTAGCCGGGGATCTGCCAAAACGTAGATATTTTTCTGCGTTTTGGCCTGTCATCCACACGAAAACGGAGTTTTTTCACATGAAAACGGATCTTTTTATAAACTCCGGCCAAAGTGAAGATCTGCGTTTTCTCCGTTTTGGGTGTCTGCGTGTGGACAGACAAAACCGGAGTTTTAAGGTCCGCAACGTCACTTTCCGCGACAAAAAATGCTGACATCACGTGTGCGACCTGTGTTTACACTAGCCGACAGCATGGATGCCCTCAGAGCTGCGCTCGCTTTATCAATTGTCCAAGCGCTTTCTGCTTGTTTGTTTTTGCAAGTGGAATTACTGCTCCTCGCGGAAGACCACAGACGAAGGACGAGGTTAAGAACGGGGGAAGTACTGCCGCCTACAGGTCTGGCATGTCCTTAACAACGTATTTATCCAGGTACGTGTGGACAGAGTGTTTTTTTTAAATGAGGTGGTGTGGATGCAAGTTTTTGGAGGGGCGGATATTCGTTTAAAAAAAAAAACGGCTACGTGTCAAAAAAGAAAACAAGTTTGCTTCTTTTGCAAACATTTAACTGGTTGATCAAAGCTTCATACAATATGTTTAATAAAACACATATTTTCTATGTCTGTCCTGTAGGTTGCAAAAACACACGTTATTTAAAAATATTTCATGGATGAATTAAAATGACTTTACTCGGTTTCGAGTCCATTTAGCCAAATTTTCAAACCTGCAACTTCATCTCTATTGTCACCAGAAAACAGATGTTGGAAGTCTGATCTAATCTGGGTCCAGGAAGGATTCTCAGATCATATTTTACCCTGCAGGCGAATGACCTGGATTCACTATCAGGAGAAGTTTCAGTTACCGCAGCAGCGTTTGTTAAGTAGAACAGATCACAGGCGTAAACCTGGCCTCTCTTTGTTTGAGGACTACAATAGTAAAACGGGGTCTAACTGTGGAATTGAGTGTACGTTTAAGAAACTCTTCTAGCACAGCAGCTGATGTCAGTATGTTGAAAACGTTTGGGGAGATATTGGATCTCTATGGATAAACTAGAAGATATGATTTCAGATGGGAATCACCATTAAAATGATGACCATGGAGCTGGTGAACATGCGTGACAGCCTCGTCTTTTCTGGAAAGTAGGGCTCTTTGATCCCGGTAACTGGATTTTGCTCCATGGTTGGAGCCATAGCAGCAAACTCTGGTCGAGGACGCTCCTTAATAAAAGAAAAAAAAACATGATATCAGAATATTGATCTTCGCTTAGTTTTATGTTGAAGAAATAAATCAGACTTCTTCTTCGTGGAAGTCCATGCAGTCCCAGTGATGAGCCAGAGTAGCCATCTTTCTCTTCCAGTACTCCAGAAAGGCCACGGCCCAGAAGGACATGAAAACACTGAAGAACACGGTACCTGGGTGGTCAAACAGGTATCCCATCTGCAACATATGAAAAGTTTGTCATAGATCATTGCTGAAATCTGAATATTGGATTACTACTTTCTTATATATACCTTAGCCATGGTGCAGATCTCAGACATGTTCCAGGCCTTACATGTTTTACAGAGTGGACACATCAGGTACTTAGCACCACTGCCACAAATTTCCTCTCTGTGGAAACACACACACACAGACATTTAGTAATGTCTCAGATGAGAACTAACATTTATTCAGCAAGTGAAAAAACTAATTCTGATCATCACAAGAAGAGTACTCATAGATATTATTGTGGAACAGGTATGATTAAAAAGCAGACTACAGGAACAAAACTTACTTTTTACCTGGAAAAAGTGAAGATACCTTTCCCGCATTGAATTTTTCTATAATAATCAGTTATCTATATTTTAAATACTTTTAAAAATATATCTCACACCTCTTTATGTCAACCAGGGATATTTTTGACTCACGCTGGTGTGTTGGTGCTCATGGTCATGACTCCAGACACAAAAATCAGGGTTCCAACCAAAGCTGCTGGCAGCAGCCAGGCTGTGTAGAAACCTGCAAGGACGCAAAGCTCCACTAGACTGGTGATGCATGAAGAGGATGTGCGTTAATTCAATTCAGTATATTTCTATAGCGCCAAATCATGACAAGAGTCGTCTCAAGGCACTTCACACAGTAAACATTACAATTGAGTTCAATCCATTAAGTCAATCAGTAAAAAGTTTCCTACATGAAGAACCCAGCAGGTTGCATCGAGTCACTGACTAGTGTCAGAGTCTTTACAGAAATCCTCTTACTAAGCAAGCATGCAGCGACAGTGGAGAGGAAAACTCCCTTTTAACAGGAAGAAACCTCCAGAGGATCCTGGCTCAGTATAAGCAGCCACCCACCACGACTCACTGGGGATGGAGAAAACAGAGCGCGCACACACACACACACACACACACACACACACACACACACACACACACACACACACACACACACACACACACACACACACACACACACACACACACTGATGTAGGTTACTGGAACGTTACACACCTGCAGTCGGAGGTAATTTCCTCTGAAACATGTTTTCCGCCACTGCTGAGTGCAAATGAACTCTTTATTGTGACTTAATGGATTTAAGAAATTATGGACTAATGGACATAATTTCAAGCAGGTGTGGTGGTAATGGAAACATCTAAATCTCACAGAAAAGTTAGGCACCTTGTGATTTTAATCTTGAAAGGCGCTACAAAAAAATCTTTCTACTTTGTTCTCTTAAGCAGCCTAGAAATCTAGACCAGCCATAGCAGTAGCAGGTCGGTCTAGCCACGCTCCATTGTAGCATCAGCAGTTCTACCGTTGGCCTGAGCAGTTTTGTGTTGTTTATTTGAAAAAGGATTTGGTTCTTCTTTGATGGTGCACGGCAGACTGCCCTGTTAACTGATATCCAGAATGGTGAATATGTCACATTGTTTGCTGCTTGGGTTGGTCCTCCCAACACAGTCCCACTGCGTGCTGAGAAAGTTTGAAAGACAACCGTAGTTTCCGCCCCATAACTGGGTTCTTTCACTGGGTCATGGCCAGAGTATATATTTACATATATACTGTAGGACGGCTTGCCAGATTAGCTCTTAAGACCAGAGTCAATGAAATAGTTGACACAAAGCTTTATTCCCTTTTCAAAACTTCACTTTGTAAAGAGAAACAAAAGCTTCCCCCCCAAAAAATACACATTTAGCTTCGCATGTCATTGTGCTGACTAGAAAATAAAATTAAATAGCAAATATTTTATACCCAGCCATGCAAAGTAGAGTGCAATCTTCTCCCCAAAGTACTCTCTGATGTGGTCCAGTGGTTGATATTTGTACCATTTGCACCAGCGGGCCCAGTAGTAGTACAGCACTTGCCTCTGGTTCAGCTCGTCTGGGCGACTCTCATAATTCGGAAGCTGAAATGGTCCCTGGAGGAAAACAAGCACTTGGTTAGAGAAGGGAAACAGCAACAATTCAGCAGATGATAATGTTTTACCTCATGCAGTGGGTAAGCTGCTGTGTAGGCCCCTTCGTTTACCAGCCTGTCCACACCGACCTCAGCTCTCTTCCTTTTGCCGTACACTGTTCGAGCCAGGATTTCATAAACCTGAAAGAAAATGCAACGGAAGCAAGGAATGAAAGGATCCTGTTTAGATTGTGCTGTTTTATTTGTGACACTTACGATACAATGTCTTTGTGTGTTAGTGAAGTACGCCTCATGGTCTCCAGAGCCAAGGAATCTAAAAGAATGGGATTTATGAAAAACGATCACATACACTAGAATGTGATCCAACAGATCTCTAGGGTTTACTCACCTGTTCATCTTGGACTTACGAAAGGCACAGGTGTAATAGTCCAATGGCCTGTTAGGCACCGATTCCATCATGGCGTTGGGTATGCAAAGTCGCTTTAGTACCATAGCAGATGTATTTAAGTTCTGATGTGGCTGAGCCTGGGACCCATCAAGGCAATAAAAGACAATAAATAAAAACACAAAATGCTGAAAAAAATGGCACACACACACACACACACACATACACAATTCCCATCTCACCCTCTGCAGGTGGTCTCAACCAAAGCTCAGGTTCTCTACCAGAGGCCTGGGAGCTTGAAGGTTCTGTGCAATATTTTAACTGTTCCCAGTACTGCACTTTTCTGGGGCTTCATACACAATCTCTGGCTGGGAAGTTGATGTTAAATCCCCTCTGACCTTGTGTCCTGGCTCCCCTTGATGTTTCATCTTGTCAATCTCAAGTACTGATAGCAGCTGCTGTTTGTGGATGACACCTGAGCTATTAGATGTTTGGCAGGTAGTGTTGAGCGCGGGTTTCGAAGTAACCATTCTTCCCACATTCTCTACATGTAACCCCTCTGACTAGGGTTACTGGAGTAGTGGTATTCCAACAGAGCCAGCATATCGCATCTCCAGGGGCGTGTCCAGGGAGTGGCCTGGGGTAGCACCATCAACATATAAATATTGGACAGTGGGTTTCCATAAGCTCCAATAACACATTTTTGAAGATAAATGGGAGGTGGCCACCACCGCCATTTTGACCGTGTCACAGGTTCCGTCAAGCCCAGACAATTCCACAAAAGGGAAGAGAGGTGGAGCTGAGGGTGGGGCTGTAAGGCTGGGATCAACTGACGACACCCGGTCGAACTAGCTACAAGCTAACCTGAAGCTAACCCAAAGCTAACGCGGAGGTGGGAGCTAAGCTAACGGAGGTAGCAACCTAGCTACAACCGGAGTTAACTGTACACAACACCAGAGCTTCTGAGTCAGAGATACACCGGGCTGACCGCTGGGTAGAACCGGGTGGAAAGGTTTCCATCCCAGAACTCCACAAGCCGGCAGCCAGCGCAGCAGCCAGAAGCCGCGATCAGACAGAGATGCGCCGAGCGGGAGGGGAGGGGAGAACCGGGTGGAAAACATCGGTCTCCCGAGAACTCCACAAGCCGATAGTCGGAACCCAGCTCCACCAACATGTTATATTTCAACCCATTTTCTAAAGTGCAGCATTATGTTAAATGCACTGGGTTTTACCCTATTACATTTAAATTTCATGGTTAAACAGTACATGTTAAAATCTAAGCTCAGCTCGGCAGTGACCTAAAATACATAAATATAATTTTACTTACCGAAAAAAATGAAGTGGAGACTCCTTGGACGCTCTATTAGTGCAATTAATGCCACAGCAAGTCATTTTGTCCAAGAATTGCACAAAAAATATCCAAAAAAGAATACACAAACACAGAGACTCAAAATCCCGAAGCAATTTCCAAGCCAGGCCGAGGCTCAGACTGAGGCCTTTCCCCGGAGCTAGCTCTGCGGTCACGTGGGTCTGATGCTCCTTCATTATACAGAATTTTAGGCTTTTAATACACTTAAACAGAAGAGTGAGAAAAAAAATGCACCCCCCTCAGAGTTGTCATGAGTGTAAACTAGATCATTTAAACCAAAAACATGTTTTGGTACCAGGCTGTAAACATGTTTATTTCTGCTGTGCAATTGGTATTTTTAACATGGGAGTCAATGAGGATTTGCTTGCTTCTGATACCAGCCCCCAGCGGATGAGGGTGGAACTGCAATTTTTGGTACTTCCGGGTTGGCCTCAATTTTTGAGCCGCATTGTGGGGGCCTGGGTAGCACATGCCACCTTTGGAATCTAATTGGCCACACTGAATTCCCTTTAAAAAGGCTTTTCATTGTCCACAAAAGGCTTGAGGTAAAATAAAAAAAGCATATCCACTGGTGCCACATATTCACAAAGTAGTGCCTCCCCTGGGCCACCCCATTTTAAAAGATCTGGACACACCACTGCGCATCTCGCCCATTTACTTCTTGTTCCAGTAGACCACTTTTCATAAGGGTTCTGTGGTTCCCCAGCACCTGATGCAGGCCTCGTATATATATATATATATATATATATATATATATATATATATATATACATACGAGGCCTGCATATATATACCGTATTTTCCGGACTATAGGCCGCTACTTTTTCCCACGCTTTGAACCATGCGACCAGAAAGGGCGGATGCTAGAAAGTCTAATGAAGGAATGGTTAGAGTGCTACGGAAAGCACCCAGGAGGAATTTTTTCACAGTAAAACAGCGCTGCTCGTTTTCCCAGCTTCACCCCGGGATGATGACAGCAACACGGAGAGCGACACTGACATCGCCACAGAAAAGGTATGTGATGAAGCTCTTCTGAGGCTGTTCAACTCCGACACTGAAGAAGATGACTTCAGTGGTTTCAGAGCGCAGGAGGACGATGAATAAACTAATCAATAACTTTTCTGTTTTGCTTGATACTGATCAGTTTAGTTACGTTCAGTTAATCTACGTTTTCAATTCAGTAGATATCTGCGGCTTTTTGCCCGATGCGGCTTATATTGAGGTGCGCTCTATAGTCCGAAAATTATGGTATGTGTATATATATATATATATATATATATATATATATATATATATATATATATATATATATATATATATATATATATATATATATATATATATATGCATCTACCACATTGCAGATTAATGTCAGGATTATTGACATGATCATTTATACTTAAACATGAACAGCTTTACTTACCTGAAGGGGAGCTCTTAGACAAAGTTCCTCAGCATAATACACCAACACATCCCAGGGGGCACTTATTTTGAGAAAATGAATTGTTTTCTTATCATTTGCTGTTTCCTCCTTTTGACAACAGAGACAAGAGGTGAAATGTTGATTAAAAAGCCAAAGTAAAACATTTATTAGGTTTAAAATCAACAATAAAACCTTTTCCACGAGCAATCCAGCACCCTCCAGATTCTGAACAAACTTCTCCCTCCACTGTGCCAGCTGTGCCTTCCTCCGTTCTGACCTGCTGCTCCCCTCCGGAGGAACGGATTCCCCCTCCCCACAATTTGCCTCATTTTTCCCTTTCCCTCTCCTTTTCCTCCGCGATCGGACCTCCCACACCAGCACAAAATCTAAACGTGGGATTTAAAAGAGTAAAAAGGAGAGTTGACGTTTTTTGTCCACAAATGCCAGCTCGTGCAACATAGATGCTGATGCCACCCACCTATTTTTGCCCTTCCATCTCTAAAGTAGTTCCCCAGCTGTGGAACTGTCTGTTTGCTGCTTGCACCACCATCTTCATCAGCAGCTGCAGCTGAAAACTGGAATTTAGAAACAGGCTGTAAGATTAAGGGAGATTTTCATTCTATTTGCATGCATGGAAGCCTTTATTTCTTAATGTAAACAGTTAATTTCCCTCAGAAGAGTTCTAACCACAAAGGTTCGGAGCAAAACGCTGCATGGTAAAAGCCTCCACTTTGCAGTAGTAAGCCCAGAAAGATGAGACAGAAAATGATCAATGAGCTTTTTACAAGACAATAAAATAACAAGCTTTCAGTGCATAAAGTCTGGTTCTCCCACAAGCTAATGTTGATGTGTTCGACATCACATGATGCTATACTCTTCTGGACATTACATGCATGATTAAAGCTTCCCAGATTTCCTTGCAGCATTCCTTAAGTCACTCCAGTGCATAAAAAAGCAGCAGCAGGGTCATTTAGTTGCCAAACGTTGAACTGTAGCAGTTTTAAAACACTGATGTCATCTCTGAAGAAGTAATCTTGCAGCAGCAATGAATAAAAAAGTAAAATAGAGCTTACGTATCGTGGAGGGATGAAGCTCCCATTCTGCAGACTACCGTAGCTGTCTGTCGTTTGGGCTTCACCCCTGTTGTCCAGATCCAGGAGGACTTCTCTGTCTTCCTTCTGCAGCTCAGAGCTCTTTTTCATCATGACAAGAAATCCTGTGGTTTAAAAAAAAATCACAAAATGCTGATGATGCATGTAAAACTGCACTTAAAAGAAATCAGTTATGGTTTGCCAATTCAAAAGCAGAATAAATCCTAAAAATGCACATTAGTTTTAGAGAGAAGTCAGAATTTGTAGTAATCTGAGCCTCCCCTTTCCTCTTCCTCCTCTTTATGACTGTATCCATCAAGGATCCTGGCTCCACTGCATTAGCTCTGGTGGAATACCGTAATGGATTTAGAACGGGGGCAACACCTTATTCAGAGGTCTGCTGCATCTCAGCTGGGAAAATACACACTGCACACCTCAACATCATCAACAATGTCCAGAACAGAGCTGTCAGTAACCAAAGTTGTATCCTGACCATGCATGTGTGTTTGTTTGTTGTCTCTAACTGGGATGTTGATGAGCCTTTTCTCATCCAAACTATTTCATATCCTCCTTGCTTTGAAAGCTGTGTGCATTTACATAAATTATTAACAGCATCAACAGAACAGTCCAAGTGGATGAGCTTAAAAATCTGAGTCATAAAACAGAAACTCAAAAAGGAACCTCCTTAAGCGCCAGTGGTTTTGATACCACTCAGCTTCAGGGTGCATTTAAAACAGCATGGAAGAGATGGATTTGATGGGCTGAAGTGAAAAGGAGGAGGATGCCATGTTGTTAGGGAGAATGTTGGTTGCATGAACATGGTGGGAAAGGTCTCCTGAATAAATGTTTTATGGAGTATCACCATGGGATGCTATTTTGATCCAAGCTAGGAACAGAAGATGTGAATCCAACACATCCTTTATCAGAAAAATCCACTTTACCCTAAAGCTGAACCCTCCTGATGCGCTGATGTGGTCTGTAGCTCTCTTAGGCTTAGACGGAATGAAGTATGCTTGTTTAAACGGAGAGTCTAAAAGGGGATTTGAGTGACTTTAAAGAGGCAATGTGTAGTTTTTACCATTAATTTCTGGAAACATCCATCAAAATGTTGAAAAAGAATGAAATGATGCCCAGTTGAAAAATAATGGCGACTTTGTAACATCTAACCATAAAATCAGGTCTAAAATACATGGGAGCGAGTCTAAGGGTGTTTCTTAATGCCAAGGAACCTACCCTTGATGTCTTGGCCCCGCCCCGGTTGCCTAGGAGATACGTCATCAAGAACCGCCAAGACGTGATACAATGTTCATGTTCTACCGAGGCGTGTGTTCTCCATTTGTTAGCCGTTTAGCTAGCTGAGCAAGGATACACGGGAGGTGTCTTGTAGCCTAGCCTTGGTCAAAAATTTCCCAGAATACACCCCGGTATTTTCAAAAGGATGACGGATCAGAAGTCGGCAGCTACTTCGGGGGAAAATTTCAAGATTAAAACTAAGTCAACTAATTAAAAATGTTTTTTTTAGATCCAAAGAATTTATCTATGGTTGGTTAGTTGCTTAATACTTGCAGCTTCAGTGGCTAGCAGGTAGTAACTTGTTTACATATTTAATTTAACAAGCATATACACAATTTGAAAAGTAAAAGGCTCGTTATATATTTAAATTGAAACTAATACGTGTAAAATGTGACGTTATCTCCCGTGTCGCGTGACGTTACGTGACTGCCGTGGAAGACGCGGTCACGTGATGCAAGTCTGTTCCACTTAACCGTTTTCTTTGGCCAAGGAAGGACAGCGTCCTCGTAAGCAAGGCACCTTCTTCCGGCTCTTGGAGGGTGCAGACGCTTTTCTTCTCCTCTCCTCCATATGTTATCCTCAAGGCCTTTGTCTGTCTGTGTGTGCTGGGTGCACGGCTGCTTCTGCAGTTTTTCTGGAAACTGGAAACTGAAATTCACTAAAATGGATCTCGTCAGTTCAATTCAATTCAATTCAATTTTATTTATATAGCGCCAAATCACGACAAGAGTCGTCTCAAGGCACTTCACATAATAAACATTCCAATTCAGGTCAGTTCATTAAGCCAATCAGAAATAATGTTTCCTATATTAGGAACCCAGCAAATCCTCATACTAAGCAAGCATAAAGCGACAGTGGAGAGGAAAACTCCCTTTTAACCAGAAGAAACCTCCAGAGGATCCTGGCTCAGTATAAGCAGCCATCCTCCACGACTCACTGGGGATCGAGAAGACAGAGCAGGCGCGCGCGCGCACACACACACACACGCACGCACACACGCACGCACACACGCACACACACACACACACACACACACACACACACACACACACACAAAGACAAAGACAAAGTAATGTGTCTATAGTTATATTGTGATGTCTTAGTAAATATTCTATTTGGCGAGAGATAAACTTTATTGTATTTATCCTAGTGAATCTATAATTAAACGGATAAACTAGCAGTAGCACATCCAATGTCAAGGAAAGCAAAAAGTTATTATCAGGAGAGGGAGAATGTTTAAGTGGTTAGCAGCAGTGTGCTAGACGATGGCCCCCTCCATGAGGCCACCACAGCTCAGCAGAACTAGCCTGGCAAGCCAGACTAAATAAATGTGTTATTTAGTCTGGCAACGCTCCATTGACGGCTCGTGGTTTTGGGGCGGGTTCTACCGTTGTCTTTCAAATGATCTCCACATGCTACTGGACAATGAATGTGACATACTCTTGTTTCACTCGTTGCATCATCCGACCCACCAGGCATATAGAGTGCCCTGATTGGCCCACAAAGCGGATAAAGCTCTGTGATTTGTTCACTGAGCAGATAGAGCACTATGATTGGCCCACCATTATGGACCAATCACAGCTCTTTGTGTTTGAAACCCCTCTAGAGAGCTGTGATTGGCCAGCCAGAATGCTGTTGGGGCTGCAGAGGTTCCAGTGGAGCGTTGCTAGACCAAACTTTGCAAAGCAAGAATTTGGTCTAGTTCACTAGGCTACAGCAGAACATCATTGTAGCTTCTTCTGGGGAGAAAAACACTTAGAGAGAAAATAAAGTTAACAGCTGAAATTGCAGAAAATAATACAGTTAAAGAGCAGATTGTAGAAGAAAGTAGTAGAGTGTGAAAAGTGGTCAGTGTATCCTCCAGCAGTCTAAGCCTATAGCAGCATAACTACAGAGATAACTCTGGATAATCTATCCTATTTAGATGGAGGCATGTTGGAGGCAGGGCAAGGGAGAGCTGTCCTTACCGACTGTACTCTCCACCTCCCTATACTCCCCCACTTGTCCAGATCTGGGCTAACATCAGATTTTAACCATAGGCCCTATCAAATAAAAATGTTTTAAGCCTAGTCTTAAAAGTAGACAAGGTGTCTGCCTCACGGAAGACGGCTGGGAGCTGGTTCCACAAGAGAGGAGCCTGATAACTAAAAGATCTGCCTACCCACATTTAATTTTTCTAATTTTCTGCTCAGTTGAATTTGTTCTAATATTTATGAGATTTACATGATTTGCTTTATTAAGCCTGATATTTAATCTGTGTGATTTTGGCCGTGGGCAGGACACTGTCTCTATGGGGTGGGTAACAGTACAGAAGCTGCAGAGGGGTGAGTTAAACTATGACTCTGCTTCCTGGTCTGGACCATGGGTTGTCATGGAGGACTAATAAAACTGGCCATGTTCCTAGAAAGAAGAGCTGCACCATCCAAAGGGGGATGGATGCCGTCTCTCTGCATCAGACCAGGTTTTCCCCAAAAAGTTTTCCAATTATCAATGTAGCCCACGTTGTTTTCAGGACACCACCTAGACAGCCAGCGGTTGAAGGACAGCATGCGGCTAAACATGTCGTCACTGGTCTGATCAGGCAGGGGGCCAGAGAAAATTACGGAGTCCGACATTGTTTTGGCAAACTTGCACACCAAAGCAACATTAATTTTAGTGACCTCTGATTGGCGTAACCGGGTGTCGTTACCGCCAGCGTGAATAACAATCTTACTGTATTTACGCTTATCCTTAGCCAGCAGTTTCAGATAAGATTTAATGTCGCCTGCTCTGGCCCCAGGTAAACATTTAACTATGGTTGCTGGAGTCTCTAATGGGCCATTCCCATCTGTACCGGGTCGGCCCGGGCCGGGTAGCGTAGGTTGTTTACATATCTGGGTGGCCTGGTATTTTTCCGGGCCAACCAAGGCTCATTCTCAGCCCTCTTTTCGAGGGGGTCTGCTTCAGGCCGACCAGGGCCAACACACCCACTGCTGACAGCAAATTCACACCTTCCATTAGAGCAAGCCTCTGATTGGTGGGTAGAATCAGCCCACATGGGCTTAAGGCAAGGATGTGTGGAATCAACCAGGCCAGGCTGGGGCCGACTGGGGCTACCCGGCCCGGGCCGACCCGGTACAGATGGGAATGGCCCATAATGCCACGTTTCTGACTATGGAGCTGCCAATGATCAGAGTCGGCTTGTCAGTGGGTGCGTCACTGAGTGGGGAAAATCTATTAGAAATGTGGACGGGTTGGTGGTGGCCCATGGGCTGGGTTCTATGCTTCCTGCGTACCGTCACCCAGCCGGCCTGAGGTCCCGGCTGCTCGGGTTCTGCTGGAGGATCGCTACAGGATGGTTCTGAGCTAGTTAGCCCCGCACTAGCTAAGTAGCTATGGCTGTTTACGGGTTTTTCAACAGCGCGGAGCCGGGACTCCAATTCCGACACCCTCGCCTCCAAAGCTACAAAAGTGCTACATTTATTACATGTACCATTATCGCTAAAGGAGGCAGAGGAGCAACTAAACATCTGACACAGAGAACAAGATAGGAGACGGAGAAGCAGAGACAGAAGTAGCCATAGCCGTGCTGAGGCTAAGCTAACTAGACGAGCAAACTGTTCAACACCAAATGAACTGCGTGCGAACTCAAATGGTTCCCTAAAAGCTAGGTGGAACAACAGAAAATGTGTGTTTTAGCGTTTTTATGTGCTACAATAACTCAGAGATGTCCTAGTACAGAGAAATTAAATCAGTTTTAGCGAGCCCCAAACACCAAACAGCTACACGTAGTGTAACACTGAAAACAGGAAACAGGAAACGCCTTACCCCAGGTGCAGCCAATCAGCAATCAGTTGGTCTCTCAACGCAGTTGATAAAATTTTTTCAATGATGAGAAAGGGAGAAGGGGCTCCCGGATGCCCCTAAAGGACAGACCAGCTGTCTGTGGAGGACTCTGAAGACGTGTGGATATTCGTGGTGTTGGTGTCAGGTTTCCTGCTCATTGGCCTTGGAGGCTATCTGGCTTACCGGAAAATTAACGAGCTGTCGAGGAATATTGGCCTGATCCCCGAGCTCAGAGATGGTTTGCACCGCACTGTGAATTCAGACTCAAATAATTGTCTAGATGAAACGTAAGCCTGGAACTTTGGCCGAGATTCATTCATTGGCACAGAAGATGGATGCCATCAAGGATAGAGTGGACGAATCAGCACGGATTGGGATAGTTTAATGTCCATTATTGGGATTTTGAGAGGTTGCGGACCAACAAACTGTAAGACAGAGAGGAAATTATCTCTTTCTGGCCCCAAAACAATTTCTAATTGGAATCTGGCGCCCTTGAGCCTACAAGGCTACAACGAAAATTCTCCCCTCAGAAGATATGTGGAATGTGCCATCGCTATGGCAACTCAACTCTGTCTCCTATCCCAGACTGGGCGGGACTGCGGGAAGGCCGCTGAAACGTTCCAGGGTCACTGCAACCTTCCAACCCTTAATGCTCCTCCCCCTATCCACACTGAGGTGTCATGCGCTGCATCTATCCTGGCTGCAGGAACTGAAGTAGGGATGGTCCCAACCCACTACCCCACCTAGTGGACACTTATGTTGTGTTGTCTGAAGTCTGTTGCATATATGTCTGAGGTTTTTGTTGCAGAGCAAAGCTGCCCTCCCTATGGAGGGTAACTCTGAAGTGCTTTTTTTCCCCTCCACCTGAACCAATCCTCATGTAAACAGTCTTCTCTCTATTAAGGTAGCGCGACTCATGGTTGCGAATGACCACAGTCACCAATTCTTGTCATGTGCCCATGTATGTCTGTCTGATCTCTGAATTGTGTGTACTGAAACTCTAATTTCCTTCTGGGATTAATAAAGTATCTTTGATTGATTGATTGATTGATTGATTGATTGATTGATTGATTAACATCCAAAGTCTCTGGGCGACGCCATATTAGATGCCATGTTTCCTTCTATGGGAACTGATGAGGACAAAATGCTTTTATTAATTTGTAATAACAGTTACATCATTCATCATTCTTAAACATTTTACCTCTTCACTTGTTGCCAGTGATGAAAGGGAGCCTGATGTGTTCGTTATTTTGCTGAACTCTGCACTCCCCAGGGCTTTTTGAACCAAATAGGCATCCGTTGGTACGCCAACACAAAAATACTGCTTGTTTGCAACGATTTAGGTATCTGTTGCTCCCTATCACCAGAAAAAACACACACTGTCACTTTAAGTGTCTCAGATGTGCTGCTCTCAAAATTTCAAATACTGCCATCTCAAGGGTTTACACTAGGGCATGTCCAAAATCCAGCTTGAGGACCATTGGCAGCCCTTGGGGGAGTTTTATGTGGCCCCCAGTTACATGTCAAGAATGATAAACTTTGTCTATCTAGCAGGCTGTTGATGCAGAGTGACACTATCTTAACATTTTCACATATCAAGTCTTTACTAATGTGTAGAGGTGGCAAGAATCTGGCGATACAAGGGAGACTGAACCAAACATTACGATACAAATAGCCATTTTTAAGACTGAATATCTGGAAAGCTCAGGTGAGTTGCGTCCATGACACATCCAGATCTCATTGATCTGTTACAATGAAGGTGGTAAATACTACTGCCACCTAGCAGTCAGAGTTTGAACTGCAGCAAACAAAAGAGTCTGTATGTTAGATTTATATTGTTTGAGATTTCCACTAATATGTCTATTTTGACCTATTCTGAGGAGCGCAATTGAAAACATCCCCATACAATAATTTTTACTTTTTAAAGGGACTTTACGGAGTTTGAATTTTTATGCATGCAATTGCCCCCTCAGGCCAAAAGCGTAATGGCAGCTTCAATAGTAGGCTCGTGCACGAGGCGCGCATGCTGTACGTGCACACTCCTTAATGAAAATAACAGCTGAGACAGTCCCTTGTGTGTGTGTGTCGGAGGACAGAGGACAGGAGAACGCGCAGCTAATTAATTAAATAATTTGGTTCTGTACCTTTCTCTTCAGCACAGCCGACAAAGGTTTATGATGGGTCAGTCCTCCTGCATGCTCAGATCATTCCCTTCCCTTGCTTGAAAAATTGTTCCAAATTGAAAGTTGAACCCACATCTTTTTTATCTGTGAATTGAATGCCGTTCAGCGAGTCTCAAATAAAAATTTGGGCATCTTACTGTAAAAAAATATGTCATGACTGTAAAAAAGAAACTCTAAATAAAAAACTATGTTCACATGCAAACTCGAACCCGGGTCTTCAGCACAATTCCGACGTCTTACTAGCTAAGCTAAAGCACCAGTAACATCTCTTGTATCTGTAACATTTATATTGTTGATGACAGCTGAAACAACATTCAAAGTATGGTTCAGAGCGAAAATGGCTATTTTATTGCTAATTTGCAGGAAATATCTAGAAGAAAGTAGCTAAGCGTCCTCAGAAATGTAGCTAGGTTCATCACTAGGCGTTAGGAACAGTGACAAAGTCGCTGAGTTGGCTCTACCTCTCTCTCTGCTGCTAAAGCTACGGATAGCAAATGCTACGGGCTATGCCGGAGCGTGAACGCGTATGAAGCAGCCTGCTCGACTTGAGCATCTCTTTTTCTGTGATTTTACAGAAAAACAGGCAATCACAGTAAAAATGCCAGGGCTCATTCTACAGGACCAGGGCATTGCAGAATGTATGAAGAAGAAATTTATTATTTCTATATATGTTTTGGCTGTCAAACTTCCATAATGCCCCTTTAAAGAAAATATATTACATTTTATGGCCCACAGAGACTATTAACAACTTTGACCCTTATCTTGAAAAGTTTTGACACCCCTGGTTTGGGTGAGTCTTAAAAAGTGTAAATATCTAGTATCCCCTTGTAACCACAGTAGGTCCATCTTCTGATGGCTGCTTCCAGCAGGATAATGCCCAAAGTCACAAAAGGCAGATCATCTCAAACCAGTTTCTAGAAAATGACGAGTTTTCTGGACTTCGGCGGACTCTACCTGTCTTTTGGCTTTAAAACGTGTTTTTAAAGGGAGCCTTACAAGTGTTACCCAAAAAATATGATCCAAATGAAACTTAGTCATACTTTGTTGCCCCTAGCAACCACAGATTATGTGGATTTGCTAACTAAACAATATTTGACACAGAAGCGCTTTTCAGAGGCCACAAAGTAAAATCCGTTTTCCTAAGCTCCTCTGACCCGAGAATCTTTTGTTCCGGCTCAAACACGAATGCAATTGCAGGATTTCTAAGTTCTGCAACACAAGTTCAGTTGTTTAAAACAGAATCGGTAACTTCAAGCACGCATCACCACAGGAAACGAAGCTTATTTTATTTTACACTTTATTAAGATATACTGTCAAGATCCAAAACTTTATTTGTACATTCATTTCAATAATGAATATAAAACCTTCTGAACACGCATGTGTTTATGATGGATTTAGCTGACTGTTATTCTTATTAGTGCTTTATTTATATTTGAATAAAACCACTAAATATATTACAAATATTACATGCAATTTACATGTGTAAAAAAAATGCTGAAACTTTGTGCCAATGCATTACTTTCTAAGATATCGTCCATCATCGGCCAGCAATTTCTCACATTTACAAACAATTCTGAGGCACAACTGAGTTTTTTTTATCAATAAACCAACATTACAGTTCAAGTAAGTCCAACAACTCTAATGTAAACCTCTCGCGTCCTTCAGGTATAAACATTTGCCACTGTAGAACCGAGTCACAACAATCATAAAACCTGTTCCTCCTGCAGCCATGGCTCTGCTCCCGTCTGTGTGCAAAATAACTTTGTAACATCCCGCAGAGCATCGCAATAACCCAACCATAACGAAAGAAACGCTGTGCAGAAAAAACAGCTGAAGCAACAAAAACTCACGGTGACTTCTAAGGTTTCGGGACTTTTTTCACCTGAGATTCGCTGTAAAAGAGACAGATTAGTGAAACCGAGCAGCACTTAGAAAGGCTTCAAATCCTGATTAATGCTGACATGACCAACACAGTGGGACTGTACAGATGCACGTACATCTGAGTGACATTTTTTATAGTGCATATTCAAATATTAAAAGTTTCAACAACAAAAAAAGCATTTCTGGATGCAAAATCTGGTGGAAATTCTTGTTATTTTTGCTTAGAGTATTAAAATTTCCCACCCAGCTTTCCATTCAGCACGTGTGTAACTACATCACAAACAAAGACGTAAAAGAGCTTCAGTGTAGTTAAACTGTACTGTATAAGGCCTCTCTTCAACTGTTTGGATCAGTTTTAAGAAACAACCAGAAAGGCAAAATTGAAATTACAAAAGAAACCTTCATAATCACATTTTACTGAACTGAGTCAGGCTTCAACTCAGGTTATTAAAGACAGATTGTCTTATGTGTTTTACTATTTAACGTCAATGTGTGGAGAGACGTAAAAATAATTCATGTCAAGCTTCAGGTCTTGCAGTTTTGCATACAATGTAGCAGTAAAACTGACCTAAAGCAGGAAGTCCCAAACCTCTAATACTCAGCTGGACGTTACAGTTGAAAGGAGTGACTAAACGGTTTGTACAGTACGATGTACAGGGCACGGGTTCGTTCCACTGCTAGACCGAATGTTTTACCGATATCTGTTCCCACTTTTTTCTGTATGGAAATAAAAAAAATTAAAAAATTTTAAAAATCAAAATAAAACATTTCATCTCAAAAACCACAACTGGTGCCACGAGAGGAGAAAACAAAAGTGCAAGACTGAATGGAAACCTCCATTTGTTTTTGTAAAGGTAAGAAAAGGCTAACATGTTGGATGTTCTGGTTTGAGTTGTGATAAAACATCGTTACAGGTGTGTTTGTCTGAGAAGTAAAAAACATTCAGATCCGCGTGACGCTGTACAATGTGTGTGTGTGTGTGTGTGTGTGTGTGTGTGTGTGTGTGTGTGTGTGTGTGTGTGTGAATATTTGAAATTTGAATCTCAGACACAGTCATTGGTGACGAAGCGCTGACCTGTACAGTGTTGTGCTTCTGCACTAAATCTACACCACAGTTAAGGTTTATTAGGAGGGTTAGGGGTCGAGTCAGCATAAAACCCTTAACCTCCACACACTTCTGCACCAGCAGTGACTATTACTCCGTTTAACTGTAAATAAGATTTTAAAAAGAATGAATGTATCCAGAAAGCATTTAAACAAACATTTTTCCTCCAGATTGCTGATTTTTGTCATGCTTCCAAGTCAAACTCTTAAATAAATAATGCAGCTTCATATGTTCGGACCATCGGTTCGGACTTGAAAAGTCAAAAGTTGGAGTCTTGTGATGATAAACCACCAGTTAAATTCTATGTGCCTTTATTTTAAAATAATCCGTAATAAAGTCTTGTCATGTTCAGATGAAATATTCCATCACTCGGCTGGAGTTCGGTGACTCACTAGCTGCATGCACTTCAACACCTACGTCAGGTTGATATTTGTCTTCAAATAAAAGAAAAGAGTTTTATTAAAAGCTCCTCTCTACATTTGAGCTAGCACAGTGACTCCATCTGAACGAGACCGAGTGACTACAAACACACACGGATAACTGCACATGAGGGTGTGTGTGTGTCCGTCAGCACCACGGCTCACGCTGGGCTCTGCCTCGAGCCAGACTGTCTGCCCTCTGCCAGGCGCTCTTCATCAGCTCCAGGGCTTCGCTGCAGCGCTTCCGAACCAACGGGTCGCGCATTTCTCTGTGAGGCAGGTTGGCCTGTGGAAAGAGGCGATGTTTTGGTGGCAGCTTTATTTTTGATCGAGCATTATCACGACTTTTATTTCATCCTATAATAATGATATTGCATAAGAGTTTTCAGACCTGGAAAATAGATTTCCATGTACTATTTAACTCCTGCAGCAGCCGATCTCTCTCTTCATGACCGCTGAAATATAAAACCCACGGAGGGAGGAACTGGGCCGAATCTGCTGCAAACTCCTATCAACATAACAGGAAAAAGAAGATGTCCGGGGTTTGTTATCAATAACACTTAGTTTTTATGAATTTGTTTGTTTACAGTAACATTTTAATTTAAAAAAACAAAAATAATCCACTTTCCAACCGCAGCACCATTAGAGTGGACACGGATCAGCACACCCAAATAAACCTTTTATTTTGTGCAATTTGTGTAAAAGCCCATCCTGGAATTAGCCTTTTTACTATAAACAAATATTTATTATGAATTGAAGAGCAAAGTTTCATCCTATCAGTGTTTAACTTATTAAGTAAAATTCTTATCATCAATAAATTCAGAATAAAAGGCAACAGATGTTAATCTGCTATTATTTGGTTCATAGAGCTCCGGGTGTTGACGTCACTTCTCCCGCATGCAACAGTTCAAACTGAAACTGCGCCATCTTGGCAGGCAGAAGCCGGCAGCTGGACTATTTGTTATTGTCAGAAAACTCAAATGGGAAATATGGTAGATTCCTGTTGTGCCCCAGGATGCAGAACAGACGCAGACGACATAAGGAAGGAGCCATCTACAGGATTCCCCAAGATCCGGAGCGCCGCAAACGTTGGATCTATGTAATAAAACACGCTAGTGACCGGGCTGAAATGAAACTGTGGGATCCCGAGAGTAAAGGTTTTCACTTATGCAGCGACCACTTCATATCAGGTACTTAAACCAACGTTTCCTCAACTGTGTGTGGTATTTATTTTAAATGCTTTTATTACGATTCTTAGTGGGCTTCCTAAACTTATTTTGGCGTGGCTTTTTCTGTCTTATTACTCACACCAACAACAAGTAAGCATCACGTAAAAGGTTGCCTCGTGAGTTCTGCGTGCTGCCGTTTACGTGTTTTATGATCACAGCAATTAACCGGCTAAGCTGTATTTAATTTTTAAGCAATCGTTGATCAATTGTCAGATCACACATAAAAAGCACTTTGGATTGCTATTATCTGTCTCACCGAGACGGATCTCAGACAGATCCTGAGATGCTCCTGCCTGACAAATTTATTTTATTCACGGGAAAAAAAATCAAACTAGTGATTTCTCTTGGTGTTCAGTTTATACATTCAAACAGCACAGCACTCTATTTAAACTACTTACGTGTAAATCTATGCTATTTGTGTTTTTGTTTAATCAGTTTTATAAATTTTAAATGTCAGGGCATCTAAAATCCGGTAAGAGGTCTGCTCCAGCAGCTTCTGGCATTTTTAAAAACTACCCCAGGGGCACGATACGGGTCAGAGATGCTTAGTCTAATTTCTGACTATATAAAACGATTTCTTTGGTTTTAAAGTGTGAAGTAAACTCCGACAGAGTAAAATCCAAGCCGATCCCGTTCATTTTGTTTACCTTTGTTGCCTGCCAACATGGCGTCTACTCTCTGAGAACCACGTGACGTCCGGAGCTCTATTGCATTGGACTGAACAATTGTTTTCTTTTCACCACCGGGTGGCGTTAAACAGATTACTCACAATAACACAGTACTCCTTTTCTGTCTCCAGGCTCACACAGATGACATCACAGATATCGGCACTGCCAAGAGAGCGAAAAAAGCTCGTCTGACAGTCCTGATGGCAAGTTAGCAGCTTCCTGTCTGTCATCACCAGGCAACAAGGGATACACAGGGTGGGGGCCACGCCCTGGGGAATGACCTGTGGGGGACGGTGGTTACAGTTCATCACACCTTTCCTAAATGAAAACATCTCACATCAATCCATTAAAAAGAAAACAACTTGTGGAGATTAACCCCTGACTCATCCTACATGATTCCTCTTCTTACCCCTTTAGAAACAGACTGACAGAGGAGCTGCATCCAGTCAGCCATGTCCTCCTCGTTGTTTGCACTGAGCACCAGCGGGGGGCGCTCTGTTAGGATGACTTGGAAGGCGTGCGGATGATCTGTGTTGTTTGAGCGACGACAACCTCCGCAGTGCTCTCCTCTGATGAGAAAGAGATTTCAGTGCTTTTGAAATTCAACTCTTGTACCAACCTTCTGAAACTTACCCCATGGTGATCGACAGCAGCGGCGTTGCATCTGTTCTCTCGGAGTACAGGAATAGAATCCCATTACTGCACAAAACAACAACAAACATTTACTTTTTCTTTACTTGGAAGAAAATGACGTACCTTACGTATGACACGCTGTGTCTAAAAATCATTTCTACTAAATTTACCAATAAATTGGCACTATTGGGTTTGTGATGATCAAACCAGGTCTGAACGTGTGCAGGTTGCACACACAAAGGTAAAGTGACAGAGATGCAATAAAAATGTTTTAAATAATAATAAAATAATAATCAGCTCATCCTCACAACTGACAAAGATTAAGAATGATTGGATAAATCTGTTTCTGGCCAACCTGAAACTCAAAAATCTGATGTTCTCTTTCTTAACATTTGCTTTAATGGTAAATATAAACTACCGTATTTTCCGGACTATAAGACGCTACTTTTTTCCCACGCTTTGAGCCATGCGGCTTTACTGAAGGTTTTCCTTCACCTGCCACTAGGGGGCGCTTTAGCAGAAAGTGAAACAGGTGGAAGTCAAAAGTGGAAATGGAAGAAAGCGCTCATTTTAATTTAACACATGCAAGCAGCCGGCACGACGAAGAATTTTTTTCAAATCCATACGCCCTCATCATGGTAACTACACGTATGAGTTCATATGTTGCAGCATTTAAGTTGAAGGCCATCGATCTGGCAGTAAAGGAGAGAAACAGCGCTGCCGCACGTAAGCTTGGCATGAATGAATCCATGGTTCGGCGCTGGAGACGGCAGCGGGAAGAACTCATTCAAGCCAGCTTCACCCGGGGATGATGACAGCAACACGGACAGCGACGCCGACATCGCCACAGAAAAGGTATGTGACGAAGCTCTTCTGAGGCTGTTCAGCTCCGACACTGAAGAAGAGGACTTTAATGGCTTTAGTGCGCAAGAGGAAGATGAGAGCGAATGGCTTCTTCTGGTAGGCAAGTGTTTTATTTACTAACCAGGCATGTTTTGTGTGCAGTTTTTATTTTCTAATCATCCAGGGCTTATTAATGCTGTTTCAGCGCTGTTCTTTTCTTCTAAACATGCAAATTACCGGTAATAACGTGTCAGTTCTGTTTGTATTTTATAACCATCCAGAAATATGAATGCTATCAGTGCTGTTTTCTTTTCTAAACTTGCAGGCACGTTCACCCGTGTTTAAAATTCGTTTTGTTGAATTGAAACAACAACGAAAAACCTCCGTGTAGCATCTTTCTGTCTAATTATCTTATGTTATGGTCGTACATGCGCTGTGCGCCGGGGACCCGCATGTGGCTGCTGCACCGCGGCTTGTGTGTGTAGAAAACCTTTTTTTGTTGGTGCGGCTTATAGTCTGGAAATTACGGTAGACTGTTAACATGGAGGAGAGTTGAGGTTAGACTGAGATTAGAGTCATAGGGGGTAACTATTGTTGCTTTTAAGCTTAATATATTACCTTTACTTATGACCAAATAAGCGGTACTCTATATAAATATAGAATATCAACCTGCTTGGTCTTTGGATGTTTAATCAGAAGATTCTAGGATTCTTTGCTTTTTCAGGGATCAAACACACTTCCTCTCAATTCAGACAGTCAAGTTTATAAAAAGTAAGAATTTATTTTCTAAACAATTACAAACATGACCAGTTAACTAAGACTACTGTGATGGATGAATGTAAGAGGATGGGATGTGATGTATGGTGATTTAATGGTGTGTGTTTATCAGAACCTTGTATCTAGAAGAACTGAGTTCTAGGTGTCAAAAGAATTTGGTTTGCATTAAACTATGAAGTTGGTTCTTATCAAAACGGCATCAGACGCAATCTGGCTGTGTTCTACGTACCCCTGAGGAGACCCCCTTTCGGATCCGAGATGTCGGGGGGGGGTTCGGGTGAACCCAAGGTACCGAAGTTTGTAGAAAAGACCACAGTACGACCAGGTCGGTCCAGAGTCATCTCCCAGGTCACAACAGATAGATGAAATCATTTGCGTTTAGAACAGCTGTTTCTGAGTAGCTGAAGGAACCGTTTTGCTGTGTCAGCTGTAGCGTGTAACAGGTTTTTGACAGCTTGCCAAGAGATGCGATGGGAACAGAGTTTCCCTCCGATGGCCAGTCAGAGTTAGCTCAACTAACAGGAAGCCGAATCTCACAGAATGCTGGAATGCTCCGCAAGTGATCCTGTTTTAATATTCTCATATTATGGCCAATCGGGACGTGCCATGTTTAGAGGTGTTAACAAACAAACCCTCAGAACATCACGCCTTCTCAGATACAGGACGCTCTGATTTGTGGGTAAGAAAATATCTACGTGCAGTGACGTTAACTTTACTTTATATCTTATGAACATTGTGTATGAGTGTTGATAATGATTCACTTGTTAAATCAAACATTACTGATCAGAACACCAAAATGTTTCATTGTAACAATAAAATTCATTTCAACCTCATTAACTTAGGCACAGACTAATCAAAACATTTCATTAGTATTCAAATAACATTTGTTCATTCAACCATATTATTATTTAATGATTATTTAACTTAAGAGTTGTTAAAGTGTTCACTTTATTCAGAGGCATGATGAATCCTGTAGAGGCAATAAGGGAAGCTTAGGCCTTGAAACGGGAACAGTTTGTTGACAATATGTTATCTTGTGTTCAGAGCTAAAGAATCTTATGGGCTTGTTGGAAGATAGAATTTAAAATCCACCTTAAGAGAATGGAATTTATGTCTGTAGATGACCGGTGGCATGTAGGTCAGTATGTAGCTGAAAAGTGACCATTTCTGGACGTTACAGAGTTCAAAGGTCACAGCTGAGATTTAGAGGCGTGTATGAGCTGTTCATACCTGAGAACAAGATAGCAGCTTTTCCACACCTCTTTACCCAGGTATGTAGTTCCAGACCTGTACATTACAGTCCCTTCTTTAGTGCTGAAGGTCGATCCAGAGGTTGGAGTACCACTTTGTGGAGACAGTGTCATGTCCATGGGGTCCTCCCAGTGGACCAGTGAATAGAGATGAATAGACACTTCAGACACCTGCAGGAGACGGTAAACCAGGTACAAGACATCAAGTCTACAAACCTTGCTCCAAAGTAAACATATTTAACACCACTGTACCTCACAATGACACTCCAGGGAGACAAACTTGGTTAAAGCCAGCTTTTCCATGGTGGCATCTGTTAGAATAGAGGGATAAGGAGGCTCACGGCAACCCTGAACCATGGCTGACTTCAGAACTGACAGGAACCAGCTAAAAACCAAAGGAGGAAATAGATCAAAGGTTAGAGAGGGGAAGTAATCCCCATATAGTAATGAAACTGGAAAGATACTAATTAGCCCACAAGACATTTATCAATAAAATAACAGCAGAACAGTGGCTTTGACAGCTGCTGCTGCATCTTTTTACACCGTTTTGGTTTCCTGCCTACCAATTAATCAAAAAGTAGCAAAATCTGTAGATTTACTGCATAAATTAGTCTGCTTTTAGATGAAGCAGATATATAGATACACTCACAAAGTCAGCGAGGCATCAGCGGTGTCCAGCAGGAACTTTCTTCGTCTGTTGGTGCAAACCAGTGTCACCGTTTGCTGATCAAGGCCCACCTAATAGGAAACAATGTTATCATCAACTTACAGCAAAGTTAAGACTAGGTCAGCTGTCACGTCACATTTATTTCTGCATCCTTAGTATAATAAGTCTTTTAACACCCTAAAGACCTCATAAAGACCTTAGAAGGTAGCTTACAGAAAGGTAGTCCAGCTCATTGTAAGATACAGCATCATCAACTGTGTAGGGCTTTTCAGCTGCTCCTAAGAAACAAATAGACCAGGAAACACATCAGAAAAAACCTAAAGAATGTTGTTTTTATTGGATTTTTTATTGACTATTTTTGTCAAATAAAGGCAGAGGCACTGGGATTTACCCTTTCTGAGTAAGTAGATGTAACAGTCAGTCAGCAGCAGATAAAGAGGCTGCAGGTCACCCTCCATGTGACCTGTACTCATCCTCAACATCTGAAAGCACAAACACTTTCATCGTAACGTCTTCATATGTTTCGTCCCGTTTGTGGTCATAAACAGCAGCATTCTGTCAACTGGATTAATGAAAGTTCGGAAAATAATTTTACCGTGGAACAAACAATGTTTTTTAGAGCAAAATACAGGAAAAGAACTTTAAATCGCCTAAAAAGCAGACCAAAGTCATGTGACAAACTGATGCTTACGACACTTCCACAGAGAAACACCAGGAAACCACATCTCAGATCCTTGTTAAACACAACCGTAATGCTTTTATATTAATATCTGATCTTTGCTTCCGGAACTGCGCTGCTCTGGGTGGCTGCATGTTGAAGTAGCTCTGTTGACTATATGTAAGTTTTGCCTATTTTATTTATTTATTTTATTTTTTTACTTTTTTTCTTCTTCTAGTTTTTCAAGAAAAACTGTATTTTTTGGACATTTTACTTTTCCGTTTCTGGTGCTGTGAAGTTTAGAGGATTTTTACTGCTATTTTTTCACTTTTTTCCCTTTTCGAGCATTTGTTATGATGCGTAACCATGGCAACAAGCTGGTTTACAATGGGGAGCAGCTGATTAACATTGGAAAGGCTGAAATAATACCTCAACTGAAGCCACAAATGCCAAATGAGCTAAAACACAAGAAGCGTGGGTACAGAGCGGGAACAAAACAGAGGAGAAAGAGGAAATTCAAACCATCTCTTCCATCAATCATAATGGGCAATGTGAGATTATTGGCCAACAAGATGGATGAACTCCAAGCCCTTTCAAGGACTCAGCCAGAGTATCGGCAGTGCAGTGTTATGAGTTTCACCGAGACGTGGCTGCAGGACCATATCCCCGATTCCAGCGTCTCTCTGCCAGGATTCCTGTCTGTACGAGCAGACAGAGATCTGAAGAGGAGCGGGAAAAGAAAAGGAAGTGGAGTGGCAGTGCTTGTCAACAACAGATGGTGCCATCCATGTCATATTTCAGTGAAATGTCGTCTCTGCAGCCCTGATGTTGAACTCTTGGCGGTAAGTTGTCGTCAATATTATTTGCCAAGAGAGTTCACCAGTGTAGTCTTGGCAACTGTTTATATTCCACCTTCAGCCATTGCTGAAAGTGCATGTGATGCCATCAGTTCCGTTGTCGCTAAGCTACAAACCCAGCACCCCAATGCATCTGTGGCTATATCTGGTGATTTTAATCATGCCTCGCTCTCTGCTACACTTCCAACATTTCAACAGTTTGTCAGCTGCTCCACCAGAGAAAACAAGACATTGGATTTGTGTTATGCAAATGTAAAGAATGCATACATGTCCAAAACAAGACCTCCTCTGGGACAATCAGATCACAATCTTGTTTTTCTCTGCTCAGAATACAAACCACTTGTTCAGAGGCAACCTGTGACAAGAAGAACTGAGAAAATGGTCACAGGATGCTGAAAAAGCCCTGCAGGGTTGTTTTGACACCACAGATTGGATGACTCTCTGCCAAGGA